TCTGGCAATTTCAGTCCCCAGCAGGTGCCGCAATGTTCGCGCCGCATTTCTGCTGGGGGAAATCCCGTGGCAACGTTGGAGGGGGAGGTGGTGCACAGCAGAGCCAGCAGCAGCAGCTCCCCCTCATCGCCACTTCGCCCTTCGCGCAGGTGCCACTCCCCCCTGGTTTCGTTTAGGGTAGAGCTCGCCGGCAACGAGGACTGCCTGCCGCTGGCGATTATAGACCCAGCGGGAAGCACCGGATCATGGTGATGTTCATCGTGCCCGTGCAAGCGCAACGACCCGGAAATCAACGTGTGCAAGCACTTCTGCTCCCAGCGCCGCATGCCCACGTGTGGCGGCCCACCGTTGCGCATGGGTGCCTGGAGCAACCCGGTTCCCCTGGCAACTGGGTGAGCGGTTGGGCAAGCGCGCATTGTCAGCAACATGGCGATGGCGATCGTAAGATGGGCAACGAAGAGCATGGCACCACGCAGCTGAGAAGCGAAGCGCTGGATTCACACATTGCTACGCTCAACAAACTGGGCGAGCACGACGGGGCGCAGCACTAGAAATCCATGCTAACGAACCGAAGGTTCACAGTCAAGGAGCTCCCCATGCAGCGGCAGGTCTCTCGCGAGGTCCACGTACTTCGAGCAGCTGAAGGGCGACTCTCCAAAGCGGTGGCGCACTTCGACAAGCTCGGGGCGCAGATGGCCAAGGATCGAGGAGGAGCCCAACGGCTCACTGTTGAACTACAGTCAGCTGGGGAGAAGCATGGCGCTTTCGCTCGTAAACATATTAGGCGAATTCTCCTCCGCAAGCACAGCCTGCATTCCAAGCTCCACCCAAGCTAACCGTTCGCAGCATCTTGGACGGCACCTTGGAGGATCTTCCCATCGGGCTTGGAGGCGTCCCTCAGTCCGCGCGTGAGGGCTCCGAGGGCATGAAGTTTTGTGTTTAAGACAGGCCGCAAGCAGAGGCTTCGGTCAAGAGTCTCGGGCAGGGCCTTCAGTTGCAGACGAATGCCCTTTCCGCAGCGGCTTTCTTCATGGCAGACACCATCACAATTGCACAAGGACCTTATCACTCGTTTGGCACAGAAGAATCTCGCGCTGAGTGAGGGCCTGCGGCAGGGGCCAGCTCGGTCGGAGGAGCATGTTATCCACCCCTGAGCCCCAGATGCCACTGGCGCCGACGGCAGAAACCAACCAAGACGCACCCAGGTTAGGGGCCGTCTTGACGGGCACGGCCCGAGGGAACGGCAGACAGATCACCGCAGGCGGTTCGGCCTTTGCCGCGGATCCGAAGCTGGCGCAGCAGCAGCTTCGGCGAGTTGTTCGGAGTTCTCAGCAAGCGTCACCTGCGACAGTCGATTGGGGCTTCTTGGGGAGCGATGGCACCCCCCTCCGCAGGGCGACGCAAATTGGAACCTCTGGAGTTGCCCCTTCTTGCGAGGCTCGCGCGCAGAGGCCATTCGACTCAGCTTGCCTCTTTGGCTTGGTTCCTCGGCGCCCTCGGACTCGTCGTCGGTCGTTGCCTCCGCCATCGCTTCGGTATGAGGCCCAGGCCGTAGCCGGCTCGCCCAGGCTCAGGTCAACGCGGTCTGCTCGCGAGGGCGCCGTTCCGGATCCCACCTTTTCCATGCTTCCGCCCAGGCCCCCTGACGCGTGGAAGTTGGGCGGCGGCCACCTTTACAAAAAATGGCGGCGCGCGGGGAGGTGCGACGATCTTGGCGAGCAGCTACTTAGGGGTAGCATGTTCTTGGGCGTCCAGTCTGCGTTTTGATGACAGGGCGACGCGTGGAGTTCTGCATGTCCTTGGAGGCTGTCACACCGCTATCTCTTCGATCTAGTTGATGCATGGCTCTGGCTCGGCAGGGTCAAGCGCCGGAAAGGTCGCGGCGTCGCCGAGCCCCCCGTGGCTCGCCAGTGTCGACGTTGTTTTCGGCCCCCGAGATTTTGTCAAATCGGCGTCCGCGACGTCGCAAAAGGAGAACTGGTTGCGCCGCCAGAGCCGACGCGCTCGGGCACGGGTGGCACTAGGGTGAACGGCTCTTTCATATAAAGTCACGGCCGTAGCGAGGCCGCCAGATCGGACAAGTATGGATTGTCGGGTTTGGCCCTTCGCACCCCGCCGATGCTCGCCAATTCCCCGGCGCGGGCGGTTTCCTCGTGCAGCGTGCGGTTTCCGCGTGCAGCGTTGATCTTGGCGCTCCGACCGACGAGTCTCTGGGGACTTTGCGGCCGTTCGATGCACTTATTTGAGCATCTGCCTTTGCCCCCGCCCAGGCCCATCTAGCTGTCGCCGCGCTGCTCCCAGATTCCGCGGGCGGCCGTCGGCCCATCGGCATTGCCCGCGGGCGCATCCGCCCGCGGGGCGGCCGCGACGACCCGCGGCGACCCAGCGGGGGAATCGGCATCGCGGGCCCTGGCTCGACGCGGGAAAACGCAGCGGCGGCGGGCGCGGCTCAGAGGCGGCCCCAGGTAAAGATGACGCAGGGCCAGCGTTCAGCGATTTT